GTAGTATTTTCAGAAGTATACTCTGGTTTTCCTCTAGGTTTCTCCAGTTTTACCTACTGTATTGCCTCTGTCTCTGTTTCGTGGCAGGGACTCCCGCAGCCAGACACCTGGCTCAACACTGGCTCTGTGCCCCAGCACCACAAGAATCCCTGAGTCACTTCTTGTATTAATAGGTTCATTAACTTCATTGTCCTGGCCAAGTTCCAGTTTGAGTAAGAACAATCCCTCCAAACATTCCTCTTCTATTTCAACCACAAATGTAATCTGCAATTTCTTGCCTGCAAATGGTTTTCACTTTTTTCCATGGTTGTTTTCTTCCATAGCAGAACATCTGTCACTTTTCACCTGGGAGATGGTTGTATTTTAATGCCACATCAATAACTCTATCTTACACACCTATCAAAACCCACCTCAAAGCAAAACAACCTTCTTACAGTTGAGGTAAATTTCCCTGCTTCCATGGAAATTCAGAAGTTTTGCTCACAGGAGGAGCAAATGTAGAAGAAAAGACATCACAATTTATTTAATGTGTTACCCATAAGATATTCTACATACAAAATAAATTCTGCACTTCAACTGGAGAGATTTATGAAACTGTTTGATGGGTAGGACTATTTAAATAGTAATCTAAGCAAGCCATGACTGCACAGCCATTATCCACTAATCTAAAGGACATTAAAGTTGCCCTCACTTCTTAGAAACTGCTATTTGAGTTGAAAACCTTATCAGGACACCATGCCTGGGAGAAAACAGAGAAGCATATTTCAGTTAATGGTTCAGATTCACCTTGTTTGCTGCGGAAAATTCGCACCCCATACTGTAAATTCTATCTTCGCAATACAAATTTTATGGTTCTTATCACCAATCTCATCACAGAGCTCTTGCATGAATCTGTTCTGAATTTCTTATCTCAGGGCTTTTATGATAGGAAATATTGCATTAGGGCCAGTAATTTACTTTTTTTCCAATAAAATTCTAAATACATATGCAGCAGCTCTTTACTGACTGGATTGATGTTATAAATTATAAGCTTGGAAGTAAATACATTAGGACAAATATTGGTTTCTAAATAGTTACTGTGAATGAGACTTCATCCTGATGTTGGATTGTGGCACCTCTTATCTTTTATAGCTGTATCTTATCTCCCAGTTACTATACTTTGTGGCAGGAAAGTAAATAAATAACACCACCTCATTTCTGACATTTCAATTCATTCAGTTCCACGTTTTGGAAACAGCAGGTATGAGTCTGTGCAACAGTTTTCCAACGTTCTGGGATCTGCAACTATCATAAACAGGTTTCTTTCGCATGTTACATCAGTGAGCATTGCAGGGGAAGCAGCAGATAAAGGCCAGTGCCTGCTGGCAAAGATTAGCAAAAAACCCCAGCAATTCTGCTTTGGGATGTTCATTCAACACATCTGCTCCATGGTGGTTCAGCCGTTTTTTATTTTACTGGATAATCTCAGCCTTTGCTACATTAACACCAAGCTTAGACATGGCATCTTCTCAGGAAACAGGAACTTGGTCTGTAAGAGTTCAAGTGGCAGTTACACATGGACCACCCTCCCCACTTCAGAAGCAGCAGTAAGGCTCCCAAAAACACAGATCCAGTCAAGAGAGCATAGAAATATAATTGCTGCAACCTATGGGCAGAATCTGCTGTCTGCAGAACTGCATGAGCACAGCAAAATCTGCACTAAAGCTGTTGTTCCAAATATTTATTAAAAAAATAAATGCAAGTGGAAAAAAAGGAATAAGCGTTCCAGTGGCAGATTTATTACAGTTTTAACAGGGATAGGGATGAATCTAGGAACAAAAGTAGCAATAGGAAAGGATTCTTAATCAAATGATAAAATGGAAACAGCATATGCAATATATATTTATATAAATATATCGGTTACATTCTTCTTAAATATAATAAACAACATTCATTAGCAACATCCTAAAATATTTCTTTGTAGTAAGAGATTCCTCTTCCTGCAGAGCATTACTGCCTCTCTGTAAGTTTATGGCCACTAGGACCAGTTTAGATTTTGGGGCTACAATAGGTATTCAACACCACCAGGTCATATCCAGAACATGCGATTTAAAGCTAGCTTATAGGAGATTTCAACGTTATTTCTGAGACTTAAGGCAAGGTATGCAACAGGTGGGATTGGCAGAGCATGATTTAACCTCTGGAATCTCCTTAAAAGCCAAATTTGGATTAAAGCTAGATTCCCATAGGGAAACTGACACATCTTAGGATTCCCAGTTTAAGACACACTTCCCTTTTTCTGTAAACAAAATAACCTGTATCCTGTTAACCATATTTAACATGAAAATAAAGAGCCACTTGGGTAGTTTTAAAATAAATCGGTATAAAAATCTATCCTATCCATTGTCTCTGTGTCAAAGTGCTAGCAAATGGCACAGTGTTTTCTGTCTGAAGCCATGTTCCCTGCTTTTCATGTTTCCTATCGCAAACCTCAGCTCCAGCAGGACTGAGCTCAGGATTCCAACTGTGGCTGAACCAGCCAGCCTTCGGGATCACTCGCTTACACTGGGACACCCAAAGCACGTCTGAACAGGTTGTGCTAGGGCAAGTTCTCTGTGCTGTTAGATGGACAGTGCCCATCGCAGACCCATCCCCACCCTGCGAGGTGGCAGCAGGGTCTGCATATGTATGGTGCGGCTCAGGTCCCACCCCAGCCCAGCAGGTATTTAGCCTTTCCCCTGCAAAGACCATGGCAAGAGTTGGGCTCGGACCCTACAGCAGAAAACGAACTATCATTTTGCATAGTTTAGTTCAGCAGTGACTCTGTGTCCTGGGGAGATGCCTTGTTGTGCTCCAGCTGCTCCCCTCCCTACTAGGTGCTAGCAGAGCAGCTTGCCTGTTCAGGACCTCTTTGGCTTACATTGTTTGGTTCAAATGCTCGCTGGCTGTTACTTTGGAGCCTGAATGAGAAATAGTGCAAATACAAGTTTAAAGAGAAAACAAAGCAAAACAAAACCAAACAAATCACATTGCATTCGCTGAACATTCAGTTAAAAAGGCAACGATTAGTATGAAGAAACGCCAGTTTTGCAGTATTTGAGGTAACTGGCAAACCTGTAAAATACTCTTCATAATTGTCTTAAAGGAGTCTATTTGTCTTGGCACTAGATGCTTGAAGTTATTTGCTGATGTGATTCTAACACTTGTTGCTAATTGCAAATGACTGAAGACTAGCCACAGAACATGGGACATCTCCTTGGTGTGATAGGACAAACAGTCCCTGCAGTTATGGATTCCTCGGTGCTTTTCTTATCCAAGTTTGACTCAAAATGATTTTGCTTGCATGGAATGGTGTGAATTCATCCAGACTGGTTTTGCTGGAAGGCAAACATTACTTCTGAAGGCAAAGATACCTTTATTTGGCCATGCTCAGGCAGATTAAGAGGCCAAAACAGAACTCAGTTTGATTCCTATTATGGGAGGCTGGCTGCAGTGCATTTTAAAACAATAATCATCTGAAGTGACTGAGATGTTCAAGTCTGAAACTTCACAAAGTGCCAGGGTGCCCTATGAATACAGAACCCCACTTTGCACTGCAGCAACCTTCACCACGTGGCAGCACGCAAACTGCAGTCCTCACTGAAGCAATGCACCATGCAATGTTTCTTGGCCCCACTTCATAAAGGGGCTTAATTCTGCTGAACTCCTCTTCCCCCAAAAGATCAGCAGAAGGGACATTCAGCAACAAGTTGCTCTTAACAAGCAATGCACAAATGGCTTGCTAACTCACTAAGAATTAGGCACTTAGCCTGCTCAGGGTTTTGCAAGTCCTGTGTACCTCTACTGCTAGGCACCTCCATGCTAGTGCAAATCCTGGTTCTCAGGGTTTCAGGGTTCAGCTCTGGGAACTAGTCCTGGTCCTGCTTTTACCATAATCAAAAAGACTGAACTCTCTGGTCTGGCGCAGGGCTGACTGCTGCCCTTATTCGATCCACAGGGCTCAGACCTGCTCCTCTCCATCACACAGCTCCTGCTGTGCCTACTGAGTAGCCCAGCATCAAGCCTTTCTGGCTTAAGGTACAGTTGCAATAGGGAAGCTTTACCTGTTGATTTTATGAGACTGTTTCAAAGCAGGATCCACCTGTTTTAAACCATAAAGAGATGAAATCACACTGAAGCTAAGGGAAAATGATGTAGTCATAAATTCTAGACAGCTGCCATCACCCCCACACATATTCTGTTAAAGAAACAGCCTTATCTTTGCCCATGTGCTTGTTTCTAACATGATACTGGCCTTCCCAGCACGTCAGGACATTGTTTCCAATGACACAGATAACAAAGTTCAGACTTTAACTGAGAACTGATGCACGAATATGCGTAAGTAGCTTTCCTATCCCAGCTCCTTGAATTAGAGCTTTGTATATGAATAAAATGGAAAAAAATTCTCCACTGCTTTTCTCCCCCTGTCAGATTCATATTCTGTGGTTAGGAAAAGGAGAGGTGTTTGGAAGAAACTCTTCTTTCCCTTTTTCCCTTTGTCTGAGTGTAAATATTACTGGAACTTAAATGCTGTCATCTGCATTAAACAGGTGGGACTCTGTTATGCTCATCTTTTGTATGATGTTCATGTAGCAGGGGCTTCTGAAATACATTTGAAATGAATGCTGGCCATGACAGGATACTGCCTAAATTAGAATCAGGCTCCAAGTATCTTCCTGCAATTAGATTATGTCATATATTATACTCTTACTCATGGCCTGAGAAGGAGAGTGCAAGGGTACTTAATACCTGTAGATATGCAATTAAGATGAATGCATCAGACATTCGCTAGGTCTGGCTTTTGCCTGCCTCACATCTGGCACAGGCTAGCTTCTAAACCTTATAAGAAAAAAAAGGAAAACTAATGCACACACACTGGACGTCATCATGCCCATATGTATGCCTGCTGGTTGCTACTGGTACCTGACTGAACAGGCGAAAAGCCAGCAGATTCCACTTTATTTGCCTTAGTTTGGGTCATGTTAATGCTAAAAAATAGAATTCAGAGTGAGGGGAGACGGGTTTGTTTGTAATATACAGCAATTTTGCCAGCTCTTGAAGACTGCATTTCAAGCATAACTGCATTTCTCCATGCATACTGAATGCCTGTGGCAAAAGCAACCAAACCTATTAGATAGGCACATGGTGAAAGATGGCATATTAAAATAAAATAAATAAAGATCAGTCATTTCCATTCTGAAAACTATTCAAAGCCTTGATGTCGCAGCAATAAGCTAAACATGAAAGGTAGCAGACTCCTTCCTTGCATGAGCAGCCCAGCAACACCAGCTGTGAAATGCACACATAGAAAGGCTCTTCTGCACTATATATACAACTGTAATCCAGAATAAATAGTACTGTTCTGACTCATAAATGCATTTCAACTTGGTTGTTGTTTGTTACAGCTGGAGATGGCTTGCTTTTCATCCCTTCTGTCCCACCCTTGGACAGATCGATGAACAGAAACCTGGGAGTCCAGAGTGTCAGCAGTATCCTCTTGTATTCCCTCCGGAAATTCTGGTTAAGAAGCCCATAAATCACAGCATTAAGGCAGCTGTTAAAATAGGCCATAAAATAGCTCAGGACGAAAAGCCATTCTGGAATGTGTGGCTGCACATGTGAAGGATTAATTGAAACAGCAAGGCCAATAAAATTTAATGGTCCCCAGCACACAGCAAAAAGGACAAAAACTACAAACATAGTCAAGAAATTCCGGATGTCAGCTGCTCTGAGCTTCTGCTTGCAATCTTGTCTCACCCGGTGTTTGACTTGAATCACCAAAATCCAGATCCGCAGGTAGCAAAATGTCACGATGGATAGTGGGACGATGAAGTGAACCACCACCACTGTGATGGTGTATGAGGTACTCACTGTCTGTGCAAAGGTGCAGGAGTAAATCCGGGGGTCATACTGCAAAGAGCCAACAAAGAAGTTTGGCACAATTGCCACCACTGTGAGTATCCAGGTCAAGCAGAGATAGCAGAAGGTGTTCTTCAGGTTGAAAAGCTTATCATACCGAAGGCTGTGACAGATGTAGCAGTAGCGGTTGATTGCAATCGCTGTGATGTTGAAAATGGATCCAATGACACTTAAGCCCATCAGGAACCCGCTTATCTGGCAGTGGACATTTCCCATGGTCCATCCATTGTGGAAAATGGCACTCAAGATCAGAGGGTATGGATAAACTGCAACTACAAGGTCTGCAACTGACAAACTGACGACAAAGATGTTGCCTACAAAAAAAGAAGAGACGGTGAGAGGTTAGCATAAGTTCAGGTAGACAACTTGCCACTAAAGAACTCCTCTTGAGGCTGAGCTCTTCTCGTGGGCTTCAGTTTACCATCCGTTTGGAATTTGAAAGCCTAGAAAATAAGACTTAGTTCCACTAATGACAGCACTGGAGAGTAGCTACGCATGATTAACCTGCATATTCCTTCTCAGGAAAATTCTAAACTTGAAGTGCTACCCTTAATTCAGCTATAGCTGTGGATCAGGGTCCTGTGTTCCACTAAGCTGTGTAGGAAAGAATGATTTTCTCTCCTTGTTAATCAGCCAGCATGCTACTGCTCAATTTGAGTGTGGTGTATTTTTAGGTAGGCAAAAACCTTTCTGTCCAGTTTGCCAGTCAAAGTAGGGGAGGGAATTAATAAAGGGACCTTGATACCTTTTGGGAACTGCTGTAACTACAGGATCAGCTATAATGTTGAAAGAATATCTGTCAATATTCAGCTTTTTGATGACCAGAAAAATTGTCATTTCAGGAGGAGCTCTACATTACAGTCACAGGACTGTACATTAGAAAAAGTGGCTGTTTTTTCTAACTCTACTACCTTCAGGTTTATCTACAGTAGCAGGAAAATAAATATCACTGGAGTGTCAGGAAAAGCTATGTTTAACACATTTAAGGTGTTATTATCTATGCCCCTAGGTGTTACAATGCAACATCCCAGGTGACTGATCACACCTGAGCCTTCTCATCAAACAATCATATCCTGATGTCTACAAGATTATACAAAAAACACTAAAAATATATTTTTTCTGTAGTTCCCATGAAAGCATTCCCTGAGACCTCAGCTCAGCCTGGTCACTGGCTTCACTATTTGGAAAGTACACGCAAGGGCTGGCAGAAATCACAGCCGCATTGCCATTGCAGTTGTTTACTGCCAACAAGAACTATCAGGACAAGTCAACCATTCATATCAGGCAGCAGAGTCCACTTCACACTGACTGGAACACAGTCCAGACTTGAGAATAGCCCACAGCAGTGTGGCGCTGAGGCAGCTGACACACGTGTCCTTTAAAAATAAGTATTAGCAGATGTGATGCAAAGTGTTGACAACTTTTTAGAGGGAGATTTCACATACACAGGTTTACCACAGCACACAACTTCCGTGGCTGCTGTGCCTTAGTGCTGCTGATCTAATATCTCACTTAGAGCTTTTTAAATTGTAGTCACTGAACCTGGTGCCCATATAATTACCTCTATTTATGCTCACTCTCAAGGGCAGAACCACCTCTGGTCAGGCTCAGTGCTCAGGCAGGCACCCTAGAGAAGGAATAATCTTGTGCAGCAAATCTTTTATTCATTTGATCAAAAATACACACAAAATGTGTCCCCAGCACCAGGATTTCCTTTTGAAAAGGTTTTCCAAAACAGTTTTCAAGACAGCAAAACAGAGACAGACAGATCAGCAACCCAATATAGGAGACTTCCAGGGGATGCTGGAGACAGACTCTTGCTGATGGAGTCACAACCCTCCTTTTTCACTAGACCTGTCCCACTTGGATACACATTCACATACACAGGAGGTTGGAGAGCAAGCCTCTGCATTTGCTGGGGATTGAAGACAGCCACATTCAACACCCAGGCTTGATTCAGGCAAAGCAGAACAGAGCTGGATATTCCCTACTTAAGACAGCACATCAGTGGATTTAACCCAAAGTTTAGCAAAATCATAGGGAAAATTATCAGCCTCACATCATTGCCAGCTGCTGGGAGCAATGAGCAGTCTCTGTCAGTCTTTCTTCACTGACTTGAACAGTTGAAGTAGAAATATTGGGGTGGCAGGGGTATCTGTAAAAATAATATTCCTAGGATAGATTTAGTAATTTGGATTTAATCCAAGAGCGCAGTATTGTGCGTATTATTTTGACACCACTTCATTGCATGTTGCTCCATCAGGAAAAGAAATAAGAGGAGTTTATCAAGACAAGAATAATCTCCATTTCTAGCTAGACAGCAAATGTGCCATCCCCTGCTCTGTGCTTTCACCTTGCAGTCTTGGCTGTCCTACCAACTAGAAGAACTATCACCCTGGCAGGGTAATGAATACCTGGAAATAAGATCAGAAAGGTTCACTCAGTACTATTTCACAGAAATAAATCCATCTTCCATTTATTTGGCAATGTGGTCAACTTCATACTTTTCTTCTGGCAAGATGAACTTGAAGGTTGGGGCCATATAAAAGCTACTTGCCAGTCAGTCCTGAAAATCAGTGCATGAGTACAGAGAAGGGGCACACTGCATGCCTCTGAAGCAGAACACATCCTTCAAAGTATGGGAACTGGCTGTTGGCTAATTATTAAAATGAGTCACTTGACTTAAACACTGCTTCAGCCTTGCAGTCCCTAGCTTGCTATGGACCACCATGTGCTGCACCCTGTGGCCAAAGACTTGTGTCTTTGTCCTCTGATTGGACCCTCACTCCCAAAAACCACTGCAGAATGGGAAGCCATCTGATGTGTGGCGTTTAGGGAAGGTAAAGAGCAGTCTCCTGCCAATGGTCTCCACTACTGTAGGGTTTTTTTACATTTTTCCACTATAAGCCAAAGGAGTCCTGCCCATAAAAGTACCAGCTGGACTTTATCTCAAATTTAAAATTATCTGCTTCCGTGACACTATTTTCCGATGTATCTTTTTCTCTTTGTTGGCATGTGAGTATATTTCCTCACAAGCTTTCACATTTTCCATCCTGTTATTACTACCCAGTTGCTGGCTTTGTTACCCAGTTACGGAGTCATACACAATGAGGCATGGTTAGTGGAGGAAAGCGAGGGTCACAAGCACACTGGTAATACTGACCTGGCCACCTTTTCAGAGCAACTATAAAACCTCTCACATTACAGAGGTCCAACACAAAGCCATAGATTACCAGGGTACGATATACTGATCACAGTGTAAGCCACAAATTGATTCGGAAAACAAATCAAAACATGGAACAGCCCAAAGCCCAGCAGCAGAGCACGATCTAAGCATGTATGAGCAAGTAATACAAAATGGAGTTTATCCCAGAATACCTTCTGCCCTAATACTTGTACCTTTGAGCTCCTTGCCTCCCTCCCAAACTCCAATAATCCTCTTTTGGCTCACTTCAACAGCCTGCTCCTGTGTTGCAGCAGTTCCCTGGCCCTGCTTCTCATTTCACCTGGATTATCCAACATCACAGTTTATCTGAGGATTTACTGTCAAGTCCTGGTGCTAGGAAATGTGGAAATACCACAGTGAGTTCTGAAAATTGATAAACCACATATATAAAGGTCTTCAACAGCAGGCTCCCTGAACAGCACCTGGCTTTCATACAAAAGGACATAATTCTCCTAGAGTGATTAACTGGGCGTCACTGCACAAACACAAGGGTCACTGGCCCTGCTGCCTCAAGAGGCTGTTGGAAATCCCTCAGTGCACAAGCTGCAGTTGCAGAGATCAAGCCTCTCCCTGCTGTTCCCACACAGGGACAGCTGTGGGCTGTCTTTGGGCACACACAGGCTGTGCTTTAGGTATCCTAAACCTAGAAGTGGGGTTAAATCGCATCAGGGATGTGTAAAAAAATATCTGAAAATTGGCTATTTTTCTACGTCTCAGAATGTCCGAAGCAAGCACCCAAAACTCTTGTTCTGCTGTCCATATAAAGCTCTCTCATGCTCACAATCCCTGCTGAAATACTACAGTACTGTTTCCTTCAGGTTAATAAGTTACAGATGCTCAATGCAGCCTGGAGTTAACACTTACCTGTAAACCCAGTGCTGAAATTGAAACGTCCTGAGTGACAGGAAATGCACCAAAGCAAAAAGCCAGGTTTGCAGATCACCTTCTGCTCCATATGAGGAGGAAAGAGGGCTTTGCTGTCCAGATTGCCCCTTCCTGCCAGCCACTTTGCAGGCGGCCGAGTTGCTCCCGAATAGCAAGTGCCCAACACAGCATTTTGAGGCAAACAGATCATGTGCAACAGCATCAAGGTCAGCAGACCCATAAGCATGATGGACATGAGTGCCATGGGGGCTCACTGCATGACCAGCCTGCTACTGTCCCAGCCTCTTCCCAGAAGAGAGCAGATCCTGACATCTGTTCAGATGCAACCAGAGTAACTGACAGTTGTAGAACAGCGGGTATAAAACCCTGTGTTGATAAAACTTGCCAAGATACACAATGGCATAATGATTGGTATTTCTGTGGTGACACCTTACTATTTGTGACTTATGATAAAAAGCACCTTAAACTTTATGTTCATCCTTTCAAGTTTTATGAAAAACTCAACAGACTCATGTTTAAAGTGAGATAAACTGGAATTAAGACTCACATCAACCACAGAGATACAAAATAAGGGTTCAGTAAACAACTTAACAGGCCATGACTGCAAAGCAAGCCTCTGATGACCACTTACCATAACCTAATACTCTCTGTTTAACCTTCCAAAGCTTATGCTCACTGCAGAACAGAAACAAAATGTACTCTTGGCCTTGAGCAAAAAGATAAAATCATAAAAGCTTTATTCAGCATGCAACAAGACTCTTTATTAGCTTTGATAGCCTCCTTTTCTTGTTTGTTTTTACCTGCCATTTGCTGTGCGTTCGCTTGTATTGCACCAACTTCCAGTCTGCAGACATGAAGTGCATGCTCAGTTCTGCAAACTGAGTGACAGTTTATAGAAAACAATTCCAAACCAGTCTTTTTCTTTTTATAATACAAAGATGCCGATCATATTGATCATAAATTTAAACAGGTAATAGTAGTACAAGGTTGGGGGATCCTGACCCTGCAGCCCTCACTCTGACAAGCATTTCTTACATCACAAAATCTGAAGGAACACTCCAGCAAAGATGGTGCTTACCCCACCAAAGAGCATGAAGAACCATCCTTCTATAGGGGACTATGGCACAAGACACTGCTCCATGCAAGCAACAAAACAGCACATGCGAAATCCCAGACTGTTAAATTGCTGTTTCTTTCCAACAT